TAGCACCTCTCGATATTTGTAACATGCTCCGATCATTATTGGAACTGTTGATCCATTTGCTAACTTGAGCTGACTATTAGTCGTGCACTGATCAATCGTGGAAAGGGCACTTCCTTCTTGTATTTTAATTTGACAAGTAGACTTGATTCTCTTTCTTCTGGTAGCAGCATCCATAGTGTCAGTCACTCTTTTCTTGTTTCTTAACAGCACTGTCTTTGTAAATAGCTCCAGCTGCTTTATGTTGAGGTTTCTGCTGTTGCTTGCTGGTAATGGACTTGCACTCCTTTGTAATGTGTCTCATTTTATAACAAACATATCATCTCTTCTCCTTTCTGTCTATTAACCTCCTGTCACCTTTGGTAGACTCCTGCTTCTGGTCAGCCATCACTGGTTTCGAATCTAACTGGATATTCTTGGACTTACCAGTTATACTCCCTCCATCGCCTTCCGTATACTGCTCTGCCAGCTTGATCATCTCTTTCACATCTTTTGGTGATCTCTCCTTTAGGAACAGTGACATGTCACTTGAACACTTGATCATGAACTGTTCACGTACTAATAGGTATGTCAGTCTCTCAGAATTATTATCACATTTGGCCACGTCAGTCCATCATGTGAAGTATCACTAAAGACGTGCCGCAAACTGAAATACGGTTCCTCCAGTGTTGGGTTTGACTTCTCTGAAAACCTTCTTCAGTAAGTTCATATCATTTCAGTAAAGCCATTTTTCACTTGTCATAGTATATGGCATCTTCTGACGTCAGGCTTGCATATACTTGTTGGCATTTTCCTGTGAGAAGTGGGCTGAGACAGACTGCCCAGTCACCTTTGTCCCAGTTCTGACTTTTGGCAAATCTTTCATATCTCTCCAGGAAAGCATCCATGTTGTCTTTCTGTTCATCAAATTTGGGCACCTCGGGTTGGCTGGCTCTGACTCCATTGTCATTCTTGGGTCCTTCTTCCTTCGGTTGGGTGAGCTTTGTAATCTCAGTTTGTGCTCTTATTCTCTCTATTTCTAGTCTCCCTCCTCTCTCTTTTTTTCCCAATTTGTGCTCTTATTCTCTCTCTCTCTATTTTCAATCTTTCTTCCTCTCTTCTCTGTTGCCACT